TATGTATGTATGTATGTATGTATGTATGTATGTATGTATGTATGTATATGCAATATGTGCTTTGATTTTTTAAAAAATGGGTTTATTTGTAAATCTGTGTCATATCTAATTTTGGCCTAGAGCATAGGTGTCAAACTCAAGTACACATCACATGACATCTTGCAACATTTTTTGCCTTTGCGGAGCTGAGGTGCGTGCGGCCTGCACGTGATGGATGCATCTGGCCCATGGACCACCAGTTTGACACCCCTGGCCTAGAGTATCATTGTCGTTGGAAAAAGTCCAGTAATTTCTAGGATGCTTTTGTTGTTGCTCCTCGGTTGCATAATATTTTAGTTCATAGAACTGTTTCAGTTAGTTGCTAGACAGGAAGTTCAGCACCAGACAGTAGATTGGATCTTGTTGACAAACTGCTTTGTATAATTTTTTATTATTATTTTGATGGGCCATGTAGAGGAACTTCCTTGAAAATAAAGAGCATAGAAAATTTAAAATGTAAATCCCCTAACTTTGGTGGGATTTAGTTCTAGATAGGTAAGTACACTCATGTTTGTGCTCTTAACAAAATATACAGTAAGGGTGCATTTGCTTCTCTATGAATAAATTGTTTAACCTAAAGGATGGTAGAGTTTTTGAATGACCAAATAATAACTGATGAGGTGATATGAAATAAACCCAAGACCTATAGCTGGATTTGGGATGTCTAGGCACATATAATGGGATAAAAAGGATGGGAACAGATTACCAAAGCAACAAAAGTGAAGGGATAGCTGGTATCTAGGAAAGAAAAACTGTTGCTGATAAAAATAGAGAAACTTTTTGAAATAAAGCAGGAAAAGCTATTGGTAAAGTCAAGGATCTGAATAAACTGAATCAATTTTGCAAAGTCAGCAAGTTTACTATTGCAGCTGACCACTGTACCTTATATGTGTAACCTGAACAAGAACCTCTTAATAACTCATTAGAGCAGGTGTTGAGAGAGAGAGAGAGAGACCTGATGCATCAGATTGAATGAGGCCTAGTTTAGACTGAGGCCCTTTTCCACATTGAAACCTCTTTGGCTTCTATTAAGGGTTTGGGGACGAAACATGGTCAAGACTATCAGGAAGCTCTCACATTTTGTTGAGCCTTTAAACAGGATCCATTGGACCAGATCTCCACCCTAAAAATTACTTTTCCCCAATGTATTACAGTGCCAATTCTGAAGAAAGCAAAACCAAAATGTACTGGAAAATTACAAGGAGAACACACACACACACACACACACACACACTCCCTTCTTACCCTGCTGGAGCAGGTGATTGGACTAGAATAGATATCTCATTATCTTTCTCCTCCCTCCCCCCCTCCTTCTTTATTTCTTTTTCTTTCTGTCCCTTCCTTCCATCGCCCCCTTCTTTGTCTGTCCCTTTTTCTTTCTTTCCCTTTCTCTTTCTTTTCTTCTCTTTCTCTCTCTCTTTCTTTTCTCTCTCTCTTTCCCTCTCTCAGGCTCACCCCTTTAGATCAGGGACCGCCAAACTCATAATTTTAAATCCTGGAGACCACTAATATGACTTTTGACTGACGGTGGCTTTCTGGCATTGGTGGGAGAGAGAGAGAGAGAGAGAGAGATCTGATCCAACCTCTCACTCTCCCTCTCTCTCTCACACACACAGGCAGGAGTGGGATTTAGACCCCTGATCTAAAGCTGTCAAAACTCCAAAAACAGGTCAAGTAACTCTGGGGAGGCCAGTCATAAATTAGAACACTTGCTAAACAACCAGCCATTAAGTGAGGACCACTTGTATTTGGTTTGCCAGTCACCTGGCCATGCCCACCCAGTCACATGACCAGCAAGCCACACCCTCAAATTAGGCCACGCCCACAGAAATTTGAATCCCACCCCTGGTGGGGGACACCAAGGATGAGTTTGTAGCACCAAGGGGGCGGTGGACTGAAAAAATCTCCCCGCATAGCAGAACAGATGATGGAAAAAGGAAAAATAGCAATTTAGCAGGCAAGTTTGCTGGGTAAGGAATGAGTGGGTGGGGAGGGTTCCCGTAGGCCATGTGGGCTGCGCAGCCTTGTGTTTCTGTGCAGCTTGGATTAATTGCTTTGGGGGAGTGCTCTGGCGTGACATTTCTCTGCGGCCCACCAAAATTTTCTCACGGCCCACCAATGGGCCGCAGCCCACCAGTTGGCGACTGCTGCATTAGAGAAAAGAGAAAGAGGGTATTCCAGTAATTTTGCCCCTTAACATTACTACCTAGGGTTTCTTCTGATAGATGAGCAGCTGTATAAGTTGTTAATTCTATATAATTGTTAACTACAGGAAATATATATAACTATTTAGTAAGTAAGACAGTGAAAAACGTAACTTTTTCAATTGATATTCTCTTTAATGAATGCAGAAAAAACAATGGATTTATTCTTTGATCACAATATGTATATTTAAAGTATTATAATTTTTGGAAGAAGAGTGGGTAAGGAATTACAAAAACACATTTTATACTCTTTGGGAAAGATTTTGAGACTTTTGCTTCCTAGTCACCAATGATAACATGTTTAAGGATGCAAAATAAAACTATGTGAGAATGGAAGGGAAGGGATGTAGAATATTGACCAAAAAATGTTTTTCCATGTCCAATGCCACATTCTAAAACTGGGCAGGTTAGGACCTGTTTGTCATAGGTTGTGATGATGTCAATAGATGATCGGGTCTCATTATAAAGAGAGCTTAAGAGAGCTGCTGTGTTACGTCTGTACTTTTAATGAAAATATTGTTACATTGCAGGACAACGTGTTCTTTACTAACTCTATTTGTCAGTCATTGTTCAATAGAATGCTTGGGCATTTTCTCAATAGCAATATGTGCAAACTGAGGAAAGAGAGCAGATCTTGGAACTCTAAATTATAGCACAGGGCTGGCTTGATCCTCTGGAGCCACTTGACTTTTATCAGAAAGAGCTGAACAGATTTTCAAATTTTCCACACAGAACTATTTGTAATTCCTTTTGATTCCAGAAAATCTTCTGAAACAAAAAAGATAATGTATGTTCTATAGGGTCTTGGCCTAAGGAATTTTCAATTGATTTTCCTTCAAAAGTAAGAGCTCAGATAAGTTGTTTTTTTAAAAAAAAAAATACATTTCTGGTAGGCGTGATTTTTATATATATTTGATGAAATCCAAGGTCACCAAAACTTTTTAAAAGGACTGATATTTGGCAGCACAAATCACAGAGTCATGTTATCAGGGATGCGATTCAACTGGTGTAACAACTGGTTCGTGCATGTGCCCTACATTTAAAAAAGCCCATTTTCAAACCAATTACTTATCTTCTACTGCAGCCCCTGGGACTAAAACAGCTGAGGCGCAGCAAACTGCTCTGCCGTACGAATCAGCTGTGCTAAAAAAAACCAGGAAATAAAGCACAGGAAAGAGCAGGGGTAGGTGGGCGGGGCCAAATGCTCACCAGAACTACCAGTTCGCCTGAACCAGTTCGAACCAGTAGAATCCCATCCCTAGATGTTATACAGAGTCTTCAACTTACAACTATTTAGTGAACATTCGAAGGTACAATAGCCCTAAAAAAAATGACTTGCAGTTACAACCATCACAGCCTCCTCAGAGTCACATGATCAAAATTTTGGCACTTGGCAACTGGCTTGTATTTATGATCATTGTGGCATCCCAGGGTCATGCGATCGCCATTTGTGATTTTCCCAGTCTGTTTCCAACAAGTAAAGTCAATGGGAGGAGCCAGATTTGCTTAATGGTTGCATGATTCATGTAACAACTGCAGTGATTCGCTTTAACAACCATAGCATATAAAGACATAAAATTGGGCAGGACTCCATTACTTAACCGCTGCCTTTCTTAGCAATGAAATTATGCTTCCAATTTTGGCCATAATTCGAGGGCTACCTATATGATGTCTCTAACATTCCCAACAGTTCTTAGATTGAACAAAACAATCCACCCTAAAAATGTACCTCTGGATACAGAAAAGATTCCCTCTCAATCCGCTATATTTTGAATGGGGGTAGTTATTCGAATGATTGACGGCCATCCGTTCAACTGCTGCTAGTTAAATGTTAATGGGTTTTGGCAATCATGTTTATCAGCCAAGCCTTGCCATTATATTACTACAAATTAAATAAACATATAATAACATATAGCAAGATAGATATATAAATTAAAACAGCCAAGAAAAATAAAAACTTGTTTTGGCAGTTTCCTAAATAAATACTTGACATGTTAGTACACCTAACTCTTCTGACAACTGTTTCTTAATATTTATATCCAGGTATAATCTACAAATTGATCACTTGTCAATTTATGATATGTAAGATGGCATGTCAGGTAAATATGTTTCTATCAGCCTATATTAAAAAGCATTCTTGATTCCTGTGCAAAGAAGCTGCCTTGCAAAACAGTGCTGGAATGTGAGGGAAATAACACTCCTGCACAAGGTGGCGAATAAACTATGCAGTTTATGACCTTGCCGCCATTAGAGAACATCAGGATAGCTGAACCAAAAATAGGGGCCTGAAACATGCGTTTACTTTTCCACTAATGACTGATGCCATCTCTGAAACTTTATTGGATGTGTTTTTTGCAGATAAAGCATGTCCCAGTACAAACAAAAATAGGATTTTTAAAAATTATTTACTAGGTCATGTTTTGTTTTTCAGATCGCCACATTACGCCTGCCCAGAAGTAATCCGGGTAAGTTAGCGTGGGGTTATGAAATCAATTATTGACTCAGGTTAATCTTTTCCTAAGGATCTCTGGGTGCTTTTAACCATTTTAGATAAATTCCACTCAATCTAGAGACTTATAACTGAGAATGATTTGCTTCAAGGTTGATTTCCTACACAGTGCTTGCCGTCCTCGAGATTTCACAAGGCTAAATCTTAACTTGATGCATCAGAGTTGTGATTTAGAGCTACAAGAAGATTGCTGTATGAGTCTTGCTCACTCTACTCTTGAAGGATTTATATGGGGTTCTGTCTGCTTGATAGGTATTCTATCCACCGGCCACTTTCCATTTCCATTTTAAAAACATTCTCTTGATGCTTGCCATACCAGTTACATTTCGCTTCCAACGAATGGAAAAAAGACTCTGTTAAAATCCTTCTAATCTTCCTCTCCTTTCCTCGTCCCCCAGCTGCATGCATAGCCAGTTCATTCTTTCACATGGGAGATATATGCCATACTTCTCTTCTCACCTAGATGTACCTTCTTCTTTATGATTTATGTGTATCACACATATGAGGGATGCGCCTGCCTTGAGTGTGTTGTTGTTGTTGTTTTGCAGGAAACTCACTCTCCAGCATGCATGCACTTGGGTGTGTTCCCACCTGTTTCCTCCATTTTTTTCTTGACTGCTGCAGCAGGGCCTGGGTTCTTCTCTTCATCGAATGCTTTAATGAACAGCACTTCTTGCTTGTTTGTTTCATCTGTATAAGATTTAAACTACTGCATAGAGCTTTCTCAGAAGGAGATTTTACTGTGTGTGAGACGTTCCTGCTCCCTTCTCATTTGATTATACTGTCGGGCAAGGTGTCAAACTTGTGTCATCATGTTGTCATCACGTGACATATTGTGATTTCCCCCCTTCACTAAAACAGGGTGGGCGTGGCCAGCATGTGATGCATCCGGGCCACAGGCTGCAAATTTGACACCCCTACTCTAAGGCATATGGCAAGGAATGTCCTCTTTAGGAAACATACTTAGTGTGGCCACAAATTGCCACAAATGAACAGGCCTTCCCTTATTCTTTTTGTTTAAGAGAGGGATACATTGATAAATATTACGGTTAATCCCAGATATTTTCCATGCAAGCCAGAAGAAATTATTCCTATGAAAGAATAATTATGAAAGTCTTCTGAAAGAAGATATTTGTCACAACTGTGCTGGCATTGACGTATATTGTTCTGGGTTCTAGGACAATAACTTTGAAGTCACATTCCACAACGTATATTTCATCTATGATTGCCTTCCACCCAAACAGCTTGCAACTTGAATTTATTTCTCTTTATTTCAAAGCTATTGGCTTTGAAAATTGAAGGATATTTCTTCTAGGTATTTTTACTGATTTATCCATCAAAGTAGAAAGAAATTGTACAGTTCGTCACTTGCAGAACTTCTCTTTGTATTGAACACTAAGACAGAATGAATACCATTTGTTTGGCTTCATATGTGAATCTGTCAAAACTGTTTTTTTCTCAAATAAGCCTTCATACAAGAATCTTCATCCACAAATGCACCTCTAAATTTAAAGGTTATTTCATGATTATCTATTTTGTTGGTGAGCTTCCCAGACCCAACTAAAGGCTTCTGGCTCTGCACCCCAACTGTTTATATCAGTTACCACTGATAGAATGGGGGTGGTGGTGGTAACTCAAAGATCTTTCATGTGAAGTACCACATCAGTCATCTAGAGTCCATGGTGGTACAAGAATTTGAATCTAGTTTCAGAACCAGGCCATCCAGTTTATTCAGATAGTACAGCCAAGTAGTACTATATCATCAAACCGTGTGAAGCCAGGCTTAGAGTCTGCTACAGAACTTAATAGCCTTATTAAGTTCAAGGTTAATTTCCCTCCAACAGTCAGGCAGATGCTCATAAGCAGAAGGTGGAGATTGTTTTCCTAGCCTTGTTCTCCTGGAATTCCTTTGGAATTTCCTAGCCTTGTTCTCCTGAAGTTCCTTTGGAATTCAAAGGAACATTGTCCCTAAATCAAAACTAATATTATAATATTGTATAGGCTAGTAAGCAACAGGTCCTAGTAGACCTGTTCTTTGGTAATCTTAGTCGCCCAATTAAAACCATCTCTTTTTAAAGCTATCTACCTTTTATCTTTGGGAGTGGAAGACATGTGTGGGTATATGAAATCCAGGGCAATCCATATGGCAAAGAGAAATAATAATGATGCAGTAGTTCGCCAATTGTCACATTATATGAATAAGCTCTCCATTATTGAATGGCAACAGCAATCATAGGATCCCGTTCAATTCATCTCCTAGTGTTAATAAGCATAAGCAATGCCACCCTTTGGTAGAGAGAAATCATTTTGTATCTTCCAGCAAAACTGGGATTCTTTCTTTCTTCGTTCTTTAGGTTTTTTTAAAATCTGGTATCAAATATATCAAAAAGAACCAACCAATATCACTTCAGGTGTTCACTAAATGGATATAGGCAAATTCTCCACTGTCTTACCAACTAGCCAAAATAATGCTTTCCAAGCAGAAAGGTGCCAATTTGATCGAACCCATAACTTCATTTATAGTCTTCCTAGTGAATATCTTTTTGCTTGACCTTTTCAGGGCTAACACATATTCCTAGCATTTTAAAAATGTTATAACTTAGATATCCAAAAAGAGCAGAAGTCTTCTTGGACAAAGCAGAGGAGTCTTCCATTCTGCAGGGACTGGATTCCTGCCCTTCACCACTGAAGAAATAATCAGTTATTCACTTATAGGATGCACAGAGGCAACTAAAAGAAGATTAAGCTGCATGCTTCGAGTTGTAGTTCTTTTAATTGTCATCTGTGCATTCATACTACAATCCCACCTTCTCCACTACAGGTGCCTCAGTTTTAGGTAGCCTGGACTGCTGCATCTCCTCTAGGGAAAGTGAGGGAACAGGTAGGAATTTTTCCCAAGAGTACACATACTAGAGAATGATCTTCCTGCTGACAAGTCCTCCACTCTGTGTAGGCATATCACCCAAATGTGTGAATGTACAAATAAGAGTTTGAAGAACCACCAATACAGGTAAGCAGTCCATTTTCACCTGGGCTCCATAAGCTTGTTCATTAAAGGAGAGGGTTAGAAAGGTTTGGTGGGTAAGCACTGTTGGTAGAATTAATTTGGCTAGTGTTATGGCATATCTCAGTGTAATATACCCTATATTTATTTTATATAACGCTAAATGTTTTGTATTTGAAAATTATAAAGTATAAGGCCCATACTTTGGGGAGAAAATAGTTTTCCATACAATATAGGTGCATCTGATTGTAATATTTTCCTAATATTCTTTGGTTACCATATTGCACAGGGAGAAAAATACGATGGGAGAAAAGCGGATGTTTGGAGCTGTGGAGTCATTTTGTTTGCCTTGTTAGTGGTGAGTTACGATTCTCATTATCTTTACCATTGTTTCTTTTTCCTTTCTATTTTCACATTTCAACTTTGACTTTATCTATATTACTGCCATGTTCTTTCCTGTTTACTCAAGAATGAAATTTACTTACAAGATTCCCATCATCGAAATGCATGACAAATTATTTTCCTGTTTCCCTAAATTGCTGATACTCCTATAATTAGAGGAGTTCTATTAGAATTCAGTCTTTTTTATTGTGCTAAAATAGGGAGGATACCAAAAAGATTATCATTAAAAGACGATGATAGATATCATTGATTCTGTAACTCACCCACCATTTATTAATATAGCTCAATGATTAATCTTTATATCTTATGGTTTCATTTTCTTCTTTAAGTTGTGCATCAGTATTGGTGAGATAGATCTGATTTAAAGTAGCTATTTCCATGCATCTAAAGTAAATAACAAGTCCCACTCAACATTTAAAATATTAATTGATTTATATGTCAAAAAACAAAACAGCCATATTGAAGGGGGAAAAAACCTTTTTAGACAACCAAAAAATATAGACAAATGGATATTGAAATTACCAATATTGCTAAAAAATGCATAGCAATACCAGCTGCAAATGACCCTAGTAGCCACGCTTCTGGAGATATTTGGTGACTTGCCAGTTCACAGCAAAATAATATTCTCATCCTCTGAACTGGTGCAAGAATGGAATTAAGAAAGGCATGATTAGATTTACTTGACACACCATAAAAAAGGAAAGTTCAGAAGTGCATGACAGATGGTGTCTATTTTTTTTCAGTGTTTAGGGACAGGTGAAGATGTCAAAACATTAACAGACAAAAGTGAAATCTCTCCTGTGGATTAGACTATGAATGTTGGCTAAATACTTGGCAAGGGAAGAGAGGTCTCGTGAAGAAGCCTGCTCCATATAGAAACAGAGTTTTGCTTAAGTTGTGACAGATACTAATGTCAAGGACCATTTGTTTCAACTCAGACAATGTTCCTTCATAGGCAAATGAAATCAGACGGTGAGGTGATAGCATGTAATGTTTTAAATCTGTGATGATGTTGATGCCTTCTACCATGAGCCTAATTTGCTTAGATTTGGATTACTTGCCATTTCTACCTGTATCTGTTAATTAGGTTAGTTTAGAAATTAGTTTAACAAAATTAACAACAATGACAATCAGAAAAGTCAAAGTACAGCCAAAAATAAATAAATAATAATAATTCAATCCAATATTTGAAATGGCAAAGCTTCATTTCAATCTGTATGGAAATGTAGCCAGATTGTAGTCCCAGCAGGGTTTTTGATATGCGCTGGGAGGCTTGCATCAAGTTCTCAAAAAATTAGGTCGAGCCACTTCTATAGACTTTAAGTTATGACAATAAATATGTACCCAGTGTAGAAGGTGGCTAATGATCTTGGCTCTCATTTTTTTTTATTGTGGCTGGAATGTGGTTATTGCCATTACAATTAATGAAATGCAAAATTGCATTTAAAGTTTATGAGTCCTAATGGTGACCTCCCTTTGCTTCTGATTCCAGGTTGTTGAAGTTGGAAAGATATGCCCAAATATTTAAATACTTTGTTTTGATCACTGCGAAAGCCATTAGATTTTCAAGAATGGCAGTGAATAACAGGCCTTTTAGAAAAGGTCATCTCTCTAGCTCTGTAATAGTTGGCCATTGTAGCTAGTTCAATGTAGCGGTTAAGGCAGCAGACTAGAAAGCAGAGACCATGAGTTCTAGTCCCACCATAAGCTACAAAGCCAGCTGGGTGATCTTGGGTCAATTATTTTCTCTCAGACTAAGGCAATGACAAACCACTTCTAAAAACTGCAGGTACTAAAAAAAAAACCAAGCTTTTTTCTAGCTACAATAATAGGAAGAGCAGGTTCAGCTCTGCTAGCATTAGGAGAGGAGGATTCCTGTCTCATTTCTTAATATAAAAGGACAAACTTTGGCATAGTAAATTGAGTTAGGACAAAAAGTGATGCCAAAATGCAACCTTGCTCTCCCGTCTTATGTGCATGTGGATTATGGATGAAAGTGGAACACTACAGCAAGCATGCATCCCCATTGTGTTTGTATTTTGTTATGATCAGCAGCAAAAGGTATCCATCAATAGAAGATTCAGTTCTTCTCCTCAGAGTCTGGCTCCAGGGATCAGATCAAAGACTATGGTATATATAATTTTTTTAAAAGCAATGTAAAGAATCTTCAGAGGTGGCTGATACATTTTTCTCTTTGATGGTGAAGGATAAGGTACTGCTGGAGTGCTGGCTGGCCTTCCCTGAAACTGGTGTCTTTCTTCAGCAGGGAGTTGTTTTGTACCATCTAATCTGTGACTTTTCGAAGAAAAGTACCTAGTGCACGACGGTTGGCTTCTAACATTCAACAGGCCAATGGGGAAAAAGTGAACTAAGCCTTTCCTTTTTTAAAAAACATTTTGATCAGCCATGGTGAGCAGCTTCCATCTGTTATCAGGACATGCAGATTGACCCCTAATATAGGGATAGGCCATAGGCATCAGTTATCACCCCTTTCTATTTAACAGGTATAAGAAGCCACTGGGGGGGAGCATCTGAAAGTGTGGGGCAAGTATCATCATTGGTACATAACTAACCTGGGCTGCATGGGAGAGGCTGTTGTCATTTTCCAATGCCTGGAAGTTGTCAGAGTTTGTATGGGAGAGACAGACTGAAACTAACCCCACTAGGTGTTGCTCTCTGGTCTGCTACTGCCAGGGTTGCTTCTTGACAGCCGGCAATACCTGCGAAGGAGCAGGTTCATGATTTGGGGGTCCTTCTGGACTCACAGCTCCTGCATGATCAGCAGGTAGGAACCATAGCCCAATTGCAGCCGCCAAACCAATTGTGACTCTACCTGGGGTAAGAGGATCTGGCTACAGTACCTCATTTGTCTATGCTATCTGGTTTAAGTACTGCAATATGCTTTACATGCAGCTGCTCTTAAAAGGCTATTCAGAAACAACAACTGGCCTAGAACAGAACAGCTTATGTGTTTGCTGGCTCTCATCACTGGGAGAATACAATGCCAATTCTGTAAATCCTACATTGGTTACTGATTAGGTTCTGGGTAGATTTGAAGGTGCTGCTTTGACCTATAAAGTCCTTTATGTCTTGGCACCAAGGGCTGTCAAACTCCCGGCCCACAGGCGGATGCATCACACGCTGGTCACACCCACATCTGGTTTAACGAAGTCCCAATAGATCACGTGATGACAACGTGATGACCTGAGTTTGATACTCCTGCTATAAGGCCATCCATTCCTGTCAGTATCAATCCAATCCAGAACAGCTAGGGAGAAACACCTTGCAATCATACATATTCTGAGAGGCTCAGGGCACTGAAGTTAAAAACTATTGCTTTTCTGTGACAATGATGGTATTTTAGAATAGCTGCCTTACAGATATCCTCCAGAAAGCACCCCTTCCTTGATAGTTTTCAGTAAACTGGTGAAAAGTGAATTGTTTCAGAAGGCCTTGTATTTCTCCAGTGAGATAAGCTGTCACAGGGTGAGAATCTGTTGCATCAGTTGTATCTTGGCCAGAGGACTCTCATGTTGGCAGGTTCTCTTTGAGACTAGGCCACGAGACACGATCAGGTTGTGAGGCTTTTGAAGCCACTTCAGGTGTGCTATTCAGTTGCAAATGGGAAGGATGAAATCTCCGTCTGCCTCACTGTAGAGAGCCAGGAAGCGAATATTCAGAATTTGAATGAGCAATATGGGCAGCAGGGAATAGTACTACAAAAGACTCAGGCTGGCCTCTCCCTGATTCACTTGGATATAAGAAGGTACAGAGGAAAAGCACAGTCAGACTTTCAAGATTTGGTTATTGCAGCCTGTCTCAATTCTAGTTTTCCTGTTAGAGATGGTTTCCTGATCTGGGTTTACCTCATAGGGCTGACACACATCTTGATAGATGAACAGCACCAATAAATGTGCACTCCTCTGACCCCCATCCCGGATGTAAAACCTTCTATTGACTTAAGTAAAGGAAGGTGAAGTTGAAGTTGCAAGTTAATCTACAGTACCTAGTTTTATCTTACTCAAATCATCCAAATAAGACACACCTTGCTTCTGGGTCTCTGCATGCCAGATTGAGAGCTGAACTGAATCAAGTGTTTTAATGAAGCTGTGTTGGATAACAAGGGTAGTTTTAGCTCTTCCAATTCTCTGAAAATTTTGATTTATTCATCATTTGGCAATCATTTAAATAAGCCTTTTAACTAGTTTTCTTTGTAAGCAGTGTCAATCAGAGATTCTAGTAAGGGCTCACAAGTGCAATCTGTATTATCACTACTCAATACTTGGGGGTTATATACAGGGATGAGAGAAGAATTGGTTACCTCATTACAGGAAAAGGGTTTGGCTTGGGGCCTGTAATTCAATTTAGTTATCAGTGACCTAATATCATTTTAAAAAAAGCTTTGGGAAAAGTTGCAAAGCATTAAGGAGATGGTTGGTTAAACTTTAATAAAATTCTACCTGTCTCTCTTGCAAGCCACAGATGTAGAGATAGCTCCGTACTCTTGTTCTAATCATTTTTTTGTACATTATATCAATATAGAATTTTGAATTAGATTTTGAAGCAAAAAATATGACTGGAAAATTGTATCGATTTATGTTTTCTCTAGATATCATATAATCTCAACCAGACAAATCAGTAAAATAAGACCTGTTAACAATTCTCCAAAAGCAAGAACAAATAAACATAAAAATGCAAGCACTAGTAATCTAATATAAGGAATTATAACCTTAGCATGGAATTGTTTTGTTTTTCCTCCAAGAATATTAACATAGAAATAAAAATTGATTAGACATCTTATTTGATATTAAAATAGATTTCTGAGAAAGTTCCTATTCTAATCAGTGGGTTTTGTTTTTAATATTGGCTTAGTTAAATATTATGATCATGAATAGATGAATGAATAGGGCAATGTTCCATTCAAATTCTCCTGTGTTTTTTCCTCTAAACCCATAG